TCTAGAACGACTCATCTGTCTCATTCACTTTTTGAAGTACACATAACTCTCGGATTTAAATCCGAAGTTTCCGCATTTATTTTACAGTGTATTTGCTAAATAGTCATTTGGACTGAAGTTACGAGATAGTCAATTGTATCATACGTTATATATATTCGTTTGGATCATCGTTACAGGTGGCTAGTTATATCACATACGTACTACACAGTCATTTGTGCCATAGTTACCATATAGTTACTATCAGAGTTCGACTCGGGTCGTGTTATACCTCGAGTCGGGTTGTGTAGAAAGCATTTGGACTTGGGTCGGGTCGGATCGAGTCGGATCAGATCAGTTCGTGGTGGGGTCGGCTCGGGCCGCGAAAAGAATTTTACACTCTGGTTGAGTCGGATCAGGTCGAGTGAAACCATGTCCAGGTCGGGCCGAGTTGAGTCTGATTTTGCTCAGCTTAGGTCGAGTCGGGTCACGAAAAATTGACTCATGTTAGACTATGATAACTATGTTTCAGACAGAAACACACACAGACGAACATAGATGAATTCCTGTTTCTAAACTCTATCCTCTCAGTCTAGGAAATTTAATTAAATCGGTGAATTGCTTCAACAGATTTTTGAATGAAATTGTCCATCCTGTTTCATCGTGTTTTACAGTTGATGTTATAGAGATTGTGGTAAAAACCTTGTTATAATCACGTTGCCTATCAAGTCTATCATGAGAGCGTAACCGATAACCAGCTCATGGAAATAACTAATGTTTTTCTTTATTTTTAGGGTCATCTATTGCTTTCTGGGATCAACTTGCATTATTCACTTACTTTATCATCAGTAGCAAAGACTACAGGATTTTCAATGCTTTTGTCAATCAATTTGCGACCATAGATGATATCGATCAACGTACATTAGATTCTGAACGTATAAGAGATTTCTTTGGAATATGCGTCAAATATCAAACGAAAATCGAAAAAAATGTGAAAAATGACGCGGCTGCTGTCAAAATTCTCGTTCGAATGGTTGGGCTTCTTCGCATCAATAAGCAAAACTGTAGTTTAATCGATGATTTCATGTTTAAATTCGCAATGTATGTCTTGGAGTCACTTTTTTGTAAACTTGCTGATGTGCTGGCCGTCACCGACGAAAATGAATGGATACTATTTCGAGACGGCTTCATTACATTATCTTTCATGAGTTTCTTACCCTATGAAACAAACGTTGCCAGTAATTGTATTGCGACTGATATTCTCCGGGCAATACAAATAGAAAGTAGGCAACAAGACCTAGCTAATACACTGCTTTCTCGACTGGCATCAATGAAATATCGAGAAAATAGAGCTGACTGGACTATTCTCTATTCATTAGTTAGTCCAGATCAAGTTACATGTGAAAATCTTCAATTGATTACTAGATTTGACATCTATTTTAAAGTCTTTAGTAAATTGTTCCTGATACGAATGGAGGACATCACCGCTGTAAAGTACGAAGCAAAGGAAAAGTTTAACAATTTAGTGGAAATTGATCATTTCACAAGTAAGAATAATTTTAAAAACAGTAGTCATATGACTAACAATTTTGACGCGATTATTTTACGAGACTTTTTTGAAATAATTTCTCCAGCAGAAATATGTTTGTATGGTTAAGTTCGGAAACCATAGTTCTGAGAATATGTAACGATAAATTCGTATTGAGAGATCTTTTTTGTAGCAGAAAATCAAATATGAAATGATATTTCATAATACATTTTGCAATATTTAGTGCATCTCGAAGATATCCTCGACATCCTAAAATATATGAAAGTCGAAACGGCCTCTGATTCGCCAGAGTCTCGCTCTATCAGTTATATTCAATCCATAATTGGATCAAGCAATATACTTGCAAAAAAGATTGCGGATTATCTCAAATCAAAAGCAACATCGATATCGTATGATGAATTTCCAATGGCTCGAGATATATTCTTTCGTTATCATCATCTTTACATACTTACCGACATCGATCAGATAACATTTTTTACTCTAATACTTACTCGACAAAACATGTCAGTGGAGTTCTATATTGAATGGTTTAAAAATTTTCTCTGTAATGAATACTACCTTCAGAATGAGACGAACAAGAGTGAATTCGAAAACCTTCTCAAAGCATGGATAAACTGCATAGCACGTAATCAAAATACATTTCAGGAGATTATTCGAATATTGGATACACTTGTCAATGAATTATCGAATGCTATACCCAATTGCGATGGACTTGTAATCAATTTTATTCGTCCCATGTTAGATCTGTGCTTTCAACAAGGTAAAAAATGCTTCATTATTGAATTTGAACAGTCTATATAATACATGCGACAATAATCGCATGAACAGGTTTTTTTTCTCTAGTTGAGTAGACGAATTATAAAGTCATTCCCGTGTATTGAATATTTATGCGACTTCTGTGAACAAATTTGAGACTAAAAGTGCTCACTCAATAGGCCATATTGGTGCAGGTCTCCAACTAAATCAAAGCTTAGTAAATTTTTGATTTAGATAAGTATATGGGGCACTACAGGGTTGGAAATAATATTATTCCAAGGGGGTATCGCTATAAATCCAAACAGGAAACATGATGAATTTTATACCAAATGAAAGCTCGTGAAAAATGGGGTTTAGTGCTACTAAATTGTAAGGACTTGAAGGATCATGAGGTACGGAACTCTCGGAAGTTTTGATTTTTTAGCATGTAAAGTATATGAAAATCGATTTAACAAGTATCCAGGTCCATCAATCCGATACCGGATCTCATAGGATCTTGTAAGATCCGACTAGCCGACGAAATCCTACAGGAATCCGTGGAACGGAATCACGTCGGATTCCCGTCTGATGAATCTTAATTGCTGCAAATTTTATTAGCATTCATTTTATCAGTACTAGATAACGATCTTGGAATACTATCGGACCCAACTGTCGGATCTCTTATAGGATCCGATCGGATCCGACTACTGACGGGATCCGACGTGATTCCGTTTCACGGATTCCTGTCGGATCTGATATTATTCTATCGGATACCTGTAGGACACCTATCGGATCCGATAAGATCCGACTATCGGATTGATCGACCTGGGTAGAATTCTAACTCGAGGTGTTACAAAATAGTTTTCTTTTTCTTTATTTAATGAAAAAAAATGAATAGTCAGTATGACGATCGTTGGCGTTCTTTACTGCACGAAGGTGAGATGGATACGAGCATAGAAGTGTTTCAAATAATTCAGTTTTTGTTTCCATATTGATCGACACGCTTTCAAGATGAGTTTTGAGTACGTATTCAAGATATTGATTATTTTTGGTTTTTGATATCATCTTTTTTTCAACTTCATCTTTGACTATTGATGCAACATGTTGTGCTGCATTGAGATCAGGCGAGTTTTCCAGCCAAGTATCATTATCCCAAAACTTAACGCCGTTGTCTTGAATCAAATGTTGAGTCTGTTTTGCTCGCATGCATGGTGGTTTATCATGAACAAATGTCACTTGATCTGGATCAATAACATTTTCTTCATTTTTTAAGAAAGGAAACACATGCTGAGTTAAAATTACATCTCGAAAATATTGACCAGTCCAGGATTCACCATGATCTTTGATCACCCAAAGCAATTTTTTGCAAGTACAGGTCGATTCCGTTATTTTTAATAGTTTTCTTCAGCTTACTGTATTTCTGCAAAACATAATGCGCTTTTTATTTATATATGACTGGATAGAGCATTCATTTCTCTATCGATCGGTATGTTTTTTATCTGATTTATCTCTCATCTTGGCCAAGAATTTAGCGAAGTTCTCAAAGCCCTCAAAAAATTTTTTTCCCGGTGATAATGTTTGTCTCAGGGAAAATGGGCCTCAGTATTTTTAAGATTTCTCCTCTATTACGCTTGTGATTAAAGCTCTTTTTACTATCAAAAGATAGCGCTTGAAATTCTCTACAAAATCATATATGATTAGGTCCAAAAACAGTTTTAGATATATTTGAAAAAAGACAAAAACTAAAGACATACAAACAGCTGTAAAAAGTAAATAACGTATGTCCCATAATAAATGGCCGCACTTTGCATTTCATAATTTAATCTCTAAATACACTTTATTAAAAGAAAAAAAATATATTACAAGATGCAGCGTGAAAAGCTCTACAATCTAGAAACTAAAGTTTATTCTAATTGTACACTTTTTGTTTTCAAAAAAAAGCAAAACTCTGCGACCAATTTTGCCATTGTGAAAAGATCATTTTTTTATATGAATGAAAACTCCTTTTTCTTATTTTCTCTTTTTATCACCTAATATGTTTCTTTTAAACAAACCAAAATATGCCACAAGATGCAGCGTGAAAAGCTCTACAGTTTACAAAGCACAATTTATTTTACTTGTGTACTTTTTATGTTCAAGAACACTCAAAATTCTGTGCGATCAATTTTCGCATCGGCGAAAATTGGTCGTACAGAGTTTTGAGTTTTTTTGAACATAAAAAGTACACAAGTAAAATAAACTTTAGTTTCTAGATTGTAGAGCTTTTCACGCTGCATCTTGTGGTATATTTGTTTTTTAATAAAATGTGTTTAGAAATTAAAATACGAGATGCAAATTGCGGCCATTTATTATGGGTCGCGCATTTACTTTTCACAACTGTTTGTATGTCTTTAGTTCTCGTCTTTTTTCAAATATATCTAAAACTGTTTTTCGACCTAATCATATATAGTTTTGTAGAGAATTTCAAGCGCTATCTTTTGATAGTAAAAAGGACTTTAATCACATGGATAATAGAGAAAAAATCTTAAAAATACTGAGGCCCATTTTCCCTGAGACAAACGCTATCACCGGGAAAAAAATTTTTGAGGGCTTTGAGAACTTCGCTAAATTCTTGGTCAAGATGGGAGATAAATCAGATAAAAAATATACCGATCGATAGAGAAATGAATGCTCTATCGAGTCATATATAAATAAAATGCGCATTATGTTTTGCAGAAATACAGTAAGCTGAAGAAAACTATTAAAAATAACGGAATCGACCTGTAAACATAATAAAAACTCCAATACATGCTTGATGTTGAACCATTTCACGATACCTTTCATCTTCTTCAATATCTTCAATACTTTTTGCCCGAATTCGGTCGTTCTGATAATTTGGTTTGCGAGCGACCCACACATAAAATTCATCAGATGGTGCAAGATGAAGAAAATCCTCTTCGGTCCAATCTTTTAACCAATCACATAGCCATAAACGATCTGATATATGAGTTTCAGATTTTAATGGTCTTGAAACAACATGGAATGGTTTTAATGCTTCTCTATGACGATAATTATTGATTGTTCTTGGAGTAACGTATTCTTTCTGGCTTTCTGCTATTTCCTTTGCCACGATGGAACAACTTTTTCCTTGTTGACCATTTGCTTTACGACTGATGTCTTGACTACCTTGTGATAATTTGAGCTTGGGGCCAGTATTCGAATAATCAGCAAAGCATTGGTCATATGATTTTTCCCACCAAGCTGTGACAAATCGAGTTGTACGGTGAATTTTCTCGGCGATCCATTGTCTGTCTATAAATGTTGCACCAGCATCACGAGCTTCACGAAATGCAATGTATTTTATTCTGTCAATCATTCTCTGTTGTTCAGTGTCATAAGCACCAGCCATTTTTAAGATATGAAAATCCTTTGATTACACAATGGACTGGACTTCTTAACGCAATAAATGGATATAAAAATGATCTTACATGTCACTCCACAGATTACCTCAATCCCTGTTTCGCTATGTTCTAGCACAATGAAAAAATTTAAGACGTGCTTCCACACAGTAAACGAGAGAACGCAACATGGTTATCCTATTTTCTGGATCATAGTGGCATCTTGTTTTCATTAGAACAATGGGTTTTCAATTTTTAAAGAGAAATTTCTTGTTCTCCTTCGCCGTTTTACTCAGAAAAGCAGATCATCTGGTGATCATGTTCCAAGAAACTACGAAACTTCCGAGAGTTCCGTACCTGATGGTCCCTCAAGTCCTTACAATTTAGTAGCACTAAACCCCATTTTTCATGAGCTTTCATTTGGTATAAAATTCATCATGTTTCCTGTTTGGATTTATAGCAGTACCCTCCTGGAATAATATTATTTCCAACCCTGTAGTAGGCAAGTGTTGACATACCATCTTGCATTTAGCGTTACATCAGCTTTTAATAGTACCGACCTGATTAAACCAGATTTCATAAAGAAAACAGTCACCATTCTTTTGCCAGAACTTTTGTTTCGATGAACTTTGGGTGGACGTGAATCAGTTTTTGAAACCCAAACTTTGACCGCTGTTTTGTTTCTGGATCCGGGTGTGGGTGTGGGAGGGTGTACACCTCCCCAATAATTGAAAATTATTTATTATTAGCCAGCAAAGTGGATGTTTTTTTTTGAACTTTTAAAACAAGTAACGCTCGTCGCTACGACTCGCTCAATCCTCGACTGAAGGGTTAGAAGTACTTATACGCTAGTCCACTTTATCGAAACAGTTACTAATAGTATCACATGTAATCACCTATATCGGTTTCCATATTTTATGACCCTCCCTTCAGTCGAGGAAAATAAGTTCTTTGAGTGATGTTTCCCGTTAAATGTACTATTCAAATATTGTGCACGTGCAGAAAAGCTATTCTCACACTTTATTTCAAATTATTTCTCAGTTCTTTGCCACTCCTAGTCCCTAGTCAAACTCACTAGATCTACACTGTTGATATTTATCCGATGAATCCCAATAGCCTGAAGCTTTTCTTCAGGAGATTTTTCAGTGCAGCGGCTAGCCGCTGCCATGTGTAATCCCATTCTCCCATAAGATCATCCTCTTTGATTTAAACTGTATCAAATTCCAGGCTGCTCTTACTTCGAAAAATAGTTAGTTTTATAACATGAGAACTCGCAATGGGCAGTCCCGAACCGGCACTTTCTTATGAACTATCCCTTATTTCTTTAATCTAATTGTCTAGTTGAAAAGTCAGAGTTTTATTAGAATTCCTAGCAACCCTTAGCCATATCCTCACGTCTCTGACTGTCCTCATTTCCATCGGCAAATCCCTCCCTATGTATATTCTTGTTCTGATACCTCTCAACAGTCGAATACTTATTCATATTACTCTCTGAATTCTCGCAGCTATCTTGAAAACTATCATCAACCACACCTGTATTCACACACTCATCACAATCATCGTCCTTATACTCGCAATCCTTCACGACCATGATCGTTATCCTAACACATCCCTCCACTCCTTCTTATCTTCAAACCTCCCCCACACCCGTATCCCTATTCTCATACCTCTTACATCCTCATCCATGTTCCATCCAACCACATACACTCGCATTCTTATCTTCATATCCGTCTTAACAGTCACAGCTGTACCGAAACTCTTAATTAACTACATGTCTATGTACAGACTTATCCACATCCACATTGTTCTCCGGAAACTTGTCCATATTCACATCACTATTCTCAAACGCATACCCATCTTTCAGCACACTTTCAAACCCGTGCAATTCTAGAGGCAACCCTCACGACATACATCTGTTTCGCCAAATG